TCTGGGGGCGCCTCCGCCACCTGACCACCGAGCGGTTTTGTGAGGGAAGAAGGCGCTGGCAGCCGGAGCAGCTGACGATCCGAGGAGAGAAGATGCCCAAGCTTGCGCCTTTTATATTACTGGCGACATTTCTAACACATGACAACAATTTCCATCTGTATTTAAGCCGGGAGTGTGAAAAAAGAGCATTACATCACAGCGCCCGGGTTCCTAAAGGCTGCCGGGTATCTAGGCCAGGGGGACTGCGGGAGCACAGCGGGGCGGCAGGCTTCTCCCCCAACCCCTCACCCCCGGGCGTGTCAGGTCCCCACCACCGTGTGGTCCTGGGGGAGCGCTGCCCAGGGAAAGGCAGGAAATGTGGCTGTCCCATTAGGGAGATGTTGGAAGCTGGGCGGATGGGTGTCTGAGGGAGTGGGCAGGAGGGTGACCCTCATTTTTTGTCTAGGGATGCAACACCAACTTCCCAAGAGCAAGGAGCAGAAGGCTTCCAGAAGAAGTCCTTCTGGTGGGACTGACTTCTACCTCTTCCCCAGCTGTGGAGGGAACTGCAAAGATGATTACTCTTAAGTTTGAAGTAATGATCATTTTTCATTTTTCAAAATAAAGGTGTGATGGAGAGGCTTAGAAGATCAATTTGAAGAATCCACTCTTAAGGAAGGGACAGAAGAATTAAGGGTAGAATCTGGCTCCGAATCAGGCTGTTTCTTTACTGCCTCTCTCTCTCGTTCACACTCACTCTCTTGGGAGCCATCTCCTCTTCCCATCCCCTTAGTGAGAAAACTTCCCCGAGGGACTTCTGGCTTTGGAAGGTAAGTGTTCTCTATTGTTGAATGGTCACTCGTTGGTATTTGCTGAACCCACTCCATGTAGCAAGACAGAGAATGCCTACGGACTGTCAAAGCACGGCGTGTGTCCACTGCCTGCCTTTCTCCAACCCAGGCATTCCACAGTCCTGTGCAAGCTTCCTCCAATAATTAACTTCTGCAGTTCAAACAGGAGGAGATAAAGGGGCTAGAAGATGCTCAGAGGTTAACGACAGAAAGAAAACAGGGGAAGGGAGAAAAGGAAGCGAGGGTTTCTCTCTTCTTGGGGGTGAAGGAGGGGTGCTGGGAAGGGAAGGGCAATACAGAACCTAGATTCAAAATGGCATAGAGGTCCAGATTCCAAGTGACGCAGGGCAGTCTCAGGGATAAAGGGGGGACAGTGACAAGGCAGCAGGGACACTTAGGTAACAAGGTAACAGATGTCTCCCTCAAATGCAGCATCAGCTGGGTCTGAGAAAACAAAACTTATTCCTTCACAGGTGCCACTCAGCAGAGAGTCACTGGGCACATGTATGTCTGACAGTCTGTTCCCTGAACAATCCAGGGCAGTGAAGGGCTACATTTCTAGTCCTCCTGGTCCTTACAGCCACTCGTGACAGTTAAATAACTTGAGTCTAGAGTCACACCCACTGGGCTCCAACCCTTTCTCTCCAATTTCCAGCGTTGTGTCTGCAGATAAAGTTACTTGCCAGGTCTGTACCGGCTTCCCCATTGTAAAAATGGTACAAAAATTACATATTTGTTGTGAGGTTAATACACAGGAAGTGCCTGGCACAGTTTATGACATATAAGAGGTGCTAACGAAATGTCATCTATTATTCATATCATTAATATGACTTGACTTGTACATAAGCAGTCTCAACAAATGAAAGCACCTATCCTCTACTTCTGAGAGGACCTGCAAACTAGAACAGCGCCAAGGGCTTCAGTTACAGAAATGAAGAACCCAGGACCCTGAACATCACTTGACCTGTCAGAACAAGATGCCTTGGAAGACAACCCACCTGCATCAGCCTTTTAAGAGGATTCTACATTTAAAAGAGATTCCTTTGCTTCATTCTTGTTTCACATCTACTTTTAGGAAGGTAAAAAGGCCTTGAGAGCTGAATGCAAATTATTAGCTTACATTTTTGGTTTGACAGAAACAATAAAACTTAAAAGAATGGTTTCTTTATCAACCAAGTACATAATACAGGTGAGCACTTACATCATTTCCTCTCTCAATCATCATTAAAAAAAGGAAAAGAAAGGCAGATTCTACATAAAACTTACAAGTCTTTAGACACAACCGAATGCTGAAAAATGGAATGTGTATTTTATTAGTTTTCCACAAGAAAAGGATTGTCCAGTACAAATTAAACTGCTCTTTCACAAGGAGGATGCATAGACACTTCACTGAAGGGAACAGAAATACAAAAGCTATTCTCTTTATGCAAGAAAGAAGGGAACTTTTATTCAATAAGTATTCAAGGATGTAGCTTTCCAAACTTCAATAGGGGTAGAAAAATAGCCTTCATTTGGTTTGGAAATACCCCTAACAATAACAAATTATTTTCAGAGCTCCAAAGATCAGGTTTCTTTATGTACAAAGGAAGCACAAGGAAGAAATTCCATGAAAATCTACTCAGTTTTTATCAGAGAGTACACACCCATCTCAAAATTCGAGGCTTTTGGAGCCTGTGTGGTCCCCCAGCATAAGCCACCAGACATGTTTAATTACATTTCTTCTGAAGTTTCTTTTGTTACATACAAAAAATTAAAATCCATAGGGTCTGGGCTAGACTTTCTTCTTGAGTGCCTGACTTCTAGAACTCAAGGTCAAGCTAAGCAGTGTCTCAAGGGCACAAAGTTCAGAGACAGTTAAGTGCAGACACTTCATTACTAGCAATTTTTAACAACTGTGACAAAAGGGTGAAAGATTTCCCTCACTGAACACGTTCAAGACAATTAGAGACCTGATTAGGCATCGGACCAATTAAACGTTGTAGAAAAAGTGCACACCAGAAAGGTAGTAATGTGGGTTAGGAACGCGGGACCTAGAACCGGACTAGCTGGGTTCAAAACCCACTTTGGTTCTTGTTACTGTTAGCTGTTGTCTCAGTCATCTAGCGCTGCTATAACAGAAACACCACAAGTGCATGGCTTTAACAAAGAGAAATTTATTTTCCCACAATCTAGTAGGCTAGAAGTCCAACTTCACGGTGTCAGCTCCAGGGGAAGCTTTCTCTCTCTGTTGGCTCTGGAGGAAGGTCCTTGTCATCAATCTTCCCCTGGACTAGGAGCTTCTTCAAGCCCAAAAGCAGGGCCCAAAGGACATGCTCTGCTCCTGGCACTGCTTTCTCAGTGGTGTGAGGTCCTCCCCTGCCCCTTTTATCTCTTGTAAAATAGAAGGTGGTGCAGCCCACACCCCAGGGAAACTGCTTTTACATTGGATCAGGAATGTGACCTTGGTTAGGCTGTTACAATCCCACCCTAATCCTCTTTAACATAAATTACAATCACAAAACGGAGGATAACCACAGAATACTGGGAAATCCTGGCCTAACCAAGATGACACATATTTTGGGGGGACACAATTCAATCTATGACAGCTGCCCTCAAGGAGGCCACGAGTCATGGTGACTCCATGAACAATGGAACAAAATGCTGCCCTGTCCTGTGTCATCCTCATGATCCACTGCAGATCAGACCATTGTGATCCATAGGGTTTCACTGGCTGATTTTCAGAAGTAGATTATCAGGACTTTCTTCCTAGACCATCTTAATCTGGAAGCTCCACTGAAAGCTGTTCAGCATCACAGCAACATGCAAATTTCCACTGACAGACAGGTGGTGGCTGTGCATGAGATGCGTTGGCTGGGAGTCAAACCTAGGTTTCCTGCAGGGGAGGTGAGATTCTACCACTGACTACAACGCAGTAAAAATAGAAATCAACAGTAAAGAGGAAAGCAGTAATACTTGTGAAATGTACCCAAATTCCTACACAGAGCACAATTTACATCCTTAAATGTATTTATTAGAGAATAAAAGACAGAAAATAAATGATTTATGCTTTCTAAAATGAAATAAACTCATAAAGACATAGAAAATTAAAATCATGTTGCTGGAACAACATGCAAAAACACGAAGTTGGAATGCTATCTCACACCGTGCACAAAAATTAACTCAAAATGGATCACAGATCTAAACGTAAACGAAAATTATACAACTTTTGGAAGAAAATATAAAAATAAATCTTCATGCCCTTTTATAAACAACGGTTTCTTGGCCGTGACAACCAAAAGCACATAAGCAACGAAAAGGCGGTTGTGGGGTGGGGGGAGTAGGGGAGAAGAAACAGTGGATTTTACATCAAAATTAAAAACCTTCTGTCACTGGGCATGGAAGCGTCTCTGGGTATCAGGCACTTATCTTTCTGGTCCTGGCAAAGGTGATGCCGAGTGGGTGAGGTGTGCACGGCTTGACCAAGGTAAATGATGTCACTAAGAAGTACACAAGAATAACGGATATTTTTGGTAAATGCTATAAGATATATAATTTTGCAACAACAACCAAAAAATATATGTGTGGTTACATATGTAGGAACGTATGCATATATGTATATAGGTAGGTATATTTATGTATATATGTGTACATGTATAGGTGTATATATATGCATATATATATACCTGTATATGTGTACATGCATATATATTCATATATATAATAAAGCACACAGGAGGCACCGTTATGGACACTTCTTAGACATAATCAAACACCTCACAGGAGTGGGTTACTGGATTTGAAAGCTTAGGACCATAGTCTTGTGGGACAGCTCGGTCAATTGGCATAATTCATAAAGTTTATGTTCTACGTCTTAGTTTGATGAGTAGCATCTGGGGTCTTAAAAGCTTGTGAGTGGGCATCTAAGATACAATTGTTGGTCTCTATTGTCTGGAGCAAAAGAGAAAGAAAGAAATTGAAGACTCAGAGAAGACACCAGTCTACAGGACTAATAGCCTACATGAACCATGGTCTCATCCACCCTGAGACCAAAGGAACTAGATGGTGCCCGGCTACCACTACTGACCACTCTGATCAGGGCCACAATAGATGGATCCTGATAGAATGGGAGAAAAATGTAGAGCAGAACTTAAATTCTTAAAAAGTACATACTTACTGGACCACTGAGACTAGAGAATCCCTCGAGACTATCACCTTGAGATACTCTTTGAATTTTGAACTGAAACTACTCCCGGAGGTCACCTTTCAGCTAAATATCAGATTGCCTCATTAAATGAAGACTACCACCCATGAGTACTGTGCTCTTTTAAAAAATCATTTATATGAGATCAAATGGTTAACATTTACTTTAAAGCAAAGATGGAAAGGTAAGAGGGGCAAGGAAACTAGATTACTGGAAACAGAACAACTAGAACAGAAATAATGAGAATCTTGACAAATTGTGAAAAACATAACCAATGTTACTGAACAATTTGTATAGAAATTGTTAAATGGTATGATGGTTAAGATTGTGTCAACTTGGCTGGGCCATGATTCTCAGTGTTTTATATGTGATCACTCCCATGATTGAATATGCTGTGAATAGCCAATCAGTTGAAAGGAGGTTTCCTTGGGGGTGTGGACTGCATCTGAATATAAGCAGATGTTCTGGCTTTTTGCTCGTTCTGGATCCTGCGGCTGCCTCCTGTTCATTTGACCTCTGTTTCTTGGGACTTGAACTATCAGCTTATCTGCTGATCTCGGGATTTGTCCATCTTCACAGCCTGTGAGCAGGAACCCTGTTCTCCGACCCGCCAATCTTGGGTTCCCCAGTGCCTGTGGCTACGTGATTCGAGAGAAGCCTCTATCCTGATCCACAGATTTGGGACGTTTCAACTTCTACAATCGTGTGAGCTGTTTCCTTAATATAAATCTGTCTCTCTATATATTTATACACTTTACTGATTTTGCTTCTTTAGAGAACCCAGCCTAAGACAGATGCGAACCTAATTTGCTGTGTAAACTTTCATCAAAAACACAATAAAATATTATTAAAAACTTCTGCTCTAAATGATACCACCAAGAAAGTGAAAAGATAACCTACAGAATGAGACAGAATATTTGAAAATCATATATCTGATAAGGAACTTGTATCTAAAATATATAAAGAATTCTTACCACTCAATAATTTAAAGACAAATGACTCAGTTAAAAAATGGGAAAAGTAAAAAATGGGCAAAGAGTCTCAATAGACATTTGTCTAAAGAAGATACACAGGAGACCAATGGGCATATGAGAAGATGCTCAGCATAATTAGGAAATGAAAATCAAAACCACAATGAGACACCACTTCACATCTACCAGGATGGCTATAATCAAAAAGACAAATGTTGGTGAGAATGTGGAGAAATGAGAAGCTTCACACATGGAGATGCAGCCATTTTG